TATTATGAAAAAAAAAATTTGACCTCTGGACTTGTCTTCGTGGTGAAAATGGCTACCAAATGCTATTTTTGTGTGAAAATTGTCGATTTTATTTTTTACATTTTTACTTTATAATGCTATAACTAATTGAAAAGTGTATGGATCAAAATAATTTTTTTTTTGAGAAATAATATTTTTTAATATTCCCTTTTTTATTTGACATACTTTATCTTAATCAGGATATTAATAAGGAACTAGCAGATCATGTAGCATTTGGAATAATCCACCAATTTTTTAAAATTAAACACTATTAAATANTCTTAATCAGGATATTAATAAGGAACTAGCAGATCATGTAGCATTTGGAATAATCCACCAATTTTTTAAAATTAAACACTATCTAAATATTTGCATCGAAGCGTTTTATTTTGATAGTGATTTTAATCACTGTCAGATATCAATATACTTGATCCAACTATGCCACGTCACCACTAAGCCGCGACCCCCCTGTGCTGGGTTTTTTTAAGAGGTGTATCTCATTAATAGCATTTGGTAGCCATTTTCACCGTGAAGATAAAATAAAATCCGAAATTTTTTTTTTCCATGATAAAGTATATTACATTAGCTTTAGTTTATGATATATATAAAAGTGTTAGACTTTCCGGAACATTTTCAAAATTTAAGTTGAAAAAAGTAATTTTTTGTAAAAAAGTTGTCATTTTAAATCCCCCTTTGTGGGTAGGTAAAAAGTCAGATTTATAAAAAAAATATACCAAATGATAGTTAATGATATCATGCATCTATATAAAAAAAGAATTATATTGATTCGGTTATTTTTAAAAATGTTATGGCAATTTTAAGTAAAAAAAATTGAAAAAATTTCGAAAATTAGCATTTTTTAAATTTGTAACTTTTTTGGAGGTTTCCCCCATTTACGGGGAACGAGGGATTTTTTTTCAATTTTTGAGGGTAATGTCTTCGACTAGATACGATTTGTGATCTTTCGACGTATCGTTGAAAGAAATCGGTTCGGTGAGAGCTAAGAAAAAGTGGTAACAGACACAAAAAAAATAAACACATCTTAGTAAAGCCAATACCTNAAGTCTGACACTTTTATATATATCTTAAATTAAAGTTAATGTTCTCAGCTTCGCACCAAAGCTAAAAGGGATTAGCAAAAAAAAAAAATTAAAAAATCATGTCACTTTACTTTACTTTTCTTAAAATAATAATTATGTTAAAAAAATTAATTTTGGTATATTTTAGTTCCATATATATCTTGATTTATCAGTTATTAATTATTCCTTTAATTCATTCTTTATACCTCATTAGGATGTTAACATTTTTTTGAAATGACAACTTACATAATTAACTAACTTATAAAAAAAAAATTATCTAATTATGAATTTAAAAAGTGACTAATAACTTATAAATCGAGAAATATATAAAACTAAAATATACCAAAAATAATTTTCTTAAAATAGTAATTATTTTAAGAGAAATCGATTGGATAACGTTAAATAATCACTCTGTATCTGTTACACAAAATTAGATTTGTAATCTGTCTTCGTTCATGTGTCATTACAGTTGTTTAATATACACTGCAATATACATACCGCATATTTTGATTACCGCCAGATTGTGCATTCTGATTAACAATACTTCCAGTCTCGCAACTATGTGTGTTTTCGTTGAATTCTCAACATATACAAAGTGATCGATTATATTTGACAAATCAAATAACATTAGATCCAGCTAATATTTTTCGTTATTTTTTAGCTTCGATGCGAAGCTGAGAAGGTATTGGTTTTACTAAGATGTGTTTTTTTTTTTTTTTTTTTTTTTTTTTTTGTGTCTGTTACCACTTTTTCTCAGCTCTCACCGAACCGATTTCTTTCAATGATACGTCAAAAGATCACAAATCGTATCTAGTCGAAGACATTACCCTCAAAAATTGAAAAAAATTCCCTCGTTCCCCGTAAATGGAGGAAACCTCCGAAAAAATTACAAATTTAAAAATGGCTAATTTTCGAAATTTTTTTACTAAAAACTGCCGTAACTTTTTTAAAAATAAACGTATCAATATAATTCTTTTTTTTATAGATGCATGATGTCATTACCTATCATTTGGTATATTTTTTTTATAAATCTAACTTTTTACCTTTATTTTATCTTCACGATGAAAATGGCTACNGAAAAAAAAATTTCGGACTTTATTTTATCTTCACGGTGAAAATGGCTACTGAATGCTATTATTGTGTGAAAATTCTCGATTTTATTTTTTACATTTTTAACTTTATAATGCTATGACATATTGAAAAGTGTATGGATCAACATTATTTTTTTATGAGAAATAATATTTTTTAATAATCTTTTTTCATTCGACATACTTTATCTTAATTAGGATATTAATAATGAACTAGCAGATCATGTAGTTTTTGGAATAATCCACCAATTTTTTAAAATTAAACACTATCTAAAGATTTGCATCAAAGCGTTTATTTTTGATAGTGATTTTAATCACTGTCAGATATCATTATACTTGATCCAACTATATCACGTCACCACTGTGCCGCGACCCCCCTGTGCTGGGTTTTTTTTTTTTTGAATAATTTATGCATTCTTAGATAACATTAAAATCATATTTTTAGCTTCGATGCGAAACTGAAAAGGTGATTATGTGTGTTTTTTTATTTCGGTCCATAAAAAACTAACTGAATCGATTTTAATTGGTATCGATTTTAAAATTGGTCTCTTCTCTCATATTTTTCAAAATTTTCTTGTATGCAATTACAGGTCTATTCTTGAATGAATATTTTTCTAATAACTGACATATTATGTATAATCTAATCACATTTATTTAAAATTTTACTCATTGTGTCAACGCTGTTTCCTGTAATCACAGTAAATCTTGTGCATAAAATCAAAAATTGTGAAACACTTTATTTAATTTACAAAGGTATTTTATTTCATTTTAAAATAAGTAAATCAAGTGTTATTTGGAATTTTTTTAACTTGAAGCAGATAATATTCATGTAAAGTGTGGACTTAGTCGTATAAAATTTAAAAATAATCATTCTTCGACTTCAAATTTAATTAGACATATTAAATCTAAGTATCCATTAAATTTTCTATCAAATTTATTAAATAGAAAGACTCATGTAATAGAAGAGATGATTGATGACCCAAATATTGCTCCATCAACTTCTACTTCTGTAAGTTAAATCTATATATCACAATTCACATGATTCAGAATTTATTGATAAGACGTTCTAAACTAAATTCAATTCTCAGTAGTTCACACTGAGTCATTGAGTCACTGTACTATGGCACACTGATTAAGCTCGTTTAGTTGACCTAAAAGATTCAACTCTTTGAGTTGACTCACTCACGAACTACCCATCCCTAGATATCATTTATACTTCAACTATGCCGCGGCACCACTATGATAACTTTTTATTATTTTTTTTAACAAAAAAAAAATATATAAATTTTATTTTAATTTTAAAATGGTTATTTTAATATCTTTTCTTACAAAAAAATGTTAAGGGGGATAACAATTTTTAGATAAGTATTTATTGGATTACAAGCATTTTAATAGTGCATATATGAGGTTATAATAAAAATATAATTTTAACGTAGTCTAAGAAAGCATAAATTATTAAAAAAAAGGTAATGTAATATATTTGCTGAATCAAAATTTATTAAATTTGTCAAAATATTGTGGGCAATACATGTATACTTTAAACACCAGACTTGGTTATCGAGGCAAAATTATGTTTTTAAATATATATCTCGGACCATGATTATCATACAACCCTGAACATCCATTTTTATGAGCCATGTTTTAAACAAAAGTAGGACAATCAATTTTGCTAATTTATATAGTTGATATAGCGTCGTGTCTCGGTGTATAGGTACTGAAGTTCGATTCCGCTGCACTGAAGTATGTAAGAATTCCCGTCATCTCGGGCACAAACAAAAGATTTTATAGAGGATATTAAACATGATTAAAAAATAATAATTAAATAATAACATAAAATTTAATATGGATCCCAAATTCTATATTTGTCTGAAGCCTTCAATATTCTAGTTACATAAGAGAGAATCGACGTATTAAATTGTACAATACATTTTTTAATAAGTGGGATGTTGTATAATTAAAGTTTTAGTAAGTTTTCAACTAACAAATGTCAAATTATTTCTGTTATTAATTTCTAAATTCATAAATTCTTACAGAGGAATATTTTTAGTTTTTAAAGAGACTGACAAAAAGAATAATCAATTCATTTGTAATAGAATTTTATATTATTAAATATTTAAAGGAAGTATTATAGCACAATAAATAATGTGTATTTAAATATTTTTTAAACAATTGTTCTTCTTTGTTAAATAGCCTGGATATTTAAATGTTTGTTATTAATGACAAATAGTTTTTAAATTAAAAAATGTATAATCTATAATAATAAATAGAATGTATACAAATAAATAATCTGATTAATGAAGTTTCAAAAAATCAGTTGAATAACATAAAAATTTAATTAAGCACAGCAAACATGGACGTAATGTGATGTATATATTCAAAATCATGCAACAATCAACATTTTATATTTATCATTTAACACATTAAAAGGATCAATCGTTAAAAAAAAATGAACAAATAATATTATTCAATAAATAGTATAGAATATGTATTGAAACAATGAATATAATTTATATATATATATATATATTGGAATTGGACTCATTAAAAATATACATAAATAATATTTTTTAAATGTTGTAAATATTTATTGCTAAGCTTAACGACATGTTTGAGCGAAGTATATAAAATAATTTTAAACTGCTTTATTAAAAATGTAGCTAGTAAATTATTATATGCAAACACAGTAACAACAACAAAGAAACATAAAGCATAATTTTAAATATATAACTACCTTAAAATTCAAAGATGGTATTTTTTTTTAGTAAATTATAGAAAGGAATATACTGATATGCATAGTACAATAAAAAAAGAAAAACATTGTTTTGTAATCTTGTAATTAAAATATAAAAATTAAATTTATACTTAATTTTATCAAAACATTTTTAATAGAAAATAAAATGCTGCTGCTTATTTTCAAAATTAAAAACATTAATAAATGATGTAAAAGTTTTAGAAAGTATGTATAATTTAAATTTTTAAAAAGTATTTCAGTTGAAATAATATTTAATATAATAAAATTAATTAGTTTGTTAATATCTCAGCTACATTAAAAATATATAGTAAGTAATTAATAATGTTCTTAACATTAATTTTTTTGAAATATTAAAATATACATTAAAAATGTATAATAATATTTAGTCTTCCTTTCCCCTGTTTATTTTTAATAAAAAAAAAACAATAAATTTTAACAAAAATTATTGCATTTATCAATTTATCTTTTAACATTAAATTGCCAGTTATAAAAATTGTTCTGATAATTAATTAACATTTTATACCATTATTAATGACTTTTATTATAGATATTTAGAGGATATTTTAAAAGAAAAAAATTTGTATAGAAAAATATTATATAAATGCTAGTGATAAGTTTCTATAAATCACAATTAAGAAGAAGGTAAACAATTATTTAAGTATAATGAGAAGAATTATTATACAATTGTATCAAAAGTAATAATTATGATCACAGCAAATATAAAAATAATATAAAATAAACAGTAATAAAAATATGAAATAATATAACAGATATGATAAAATATGAACGAACACCATTTAAATACTACTCTAATAAGTTATAACACAATTAATATTATTAAAGTCTTAATTTCAGTACTTATGATTGAATACATAACATGATAGTTAAAAATGTTATTTAACATGAAGCAAATAAAATTTTTTTGTAGTAAAAAAATGTTATTTTAAAATTTTTCAAAATTTTATTTTTATTTAATCCTAGTTAAAATTGATAATCGTCTTTGAATTGTCAAAATAGAAATGTAATATTATTGTTTTTGTTAATTTATGTCAAATTTAGAAATCTTTTAATTAACAACAAACGAATAAAAAAAAAAAAAAACAACCATTGTAATAATAGTTAAAGAAGTATATTTAATATTTTCAATCTAATACCCAAGTATTTATCTAACAAATATTATAGCAATAACAAATAATTTTCTTGCTGTGTAAATCACACTGGTGATCCATCATTTGTGCAAGTAAAGCACCAACATGTGCGCTATCTTTTCGATGCAACAATAACATGTGTTTTAGAATCTTTTATATTTTGAACTTGGTCTAAAAGATTTTGCTTTTCTTCTAAAAGTTTACTAATGTTATCTTGTGCCGAATTTAACCAATATCTTAAAAAATAATTTAATGATTATAATAATTACAAAAAAAAAAGAATAAAAATAATTACTTTAAGTTCTTATTTTCTTCAACAAGTTTTTTCAACTCAAAATTTTCTTTTTTTAAACGCTCTAGAGTAGCTAGTTTTCTATAGAGATATTCATTTTCAATAGAAAGTTTTTTTGATTCATGTATGACTTTTAATAATTGATCATCACAGTCATTTGTTTTTTTGTAGTCTTCTAAATTAGGCTCAATGCATATCAGTCCATCTTTAGTTCTTTTAATTTTTAATTTGTTAAGACATATTTCAGTGTTAGAGAGTTTTATAGCTCCCTGAGAATCATTTTGTAATAAACTATTGTAAAATAATATTTTTGTGTTCTCAATTGTGGCCTAAAAAAAAAATAAATATATTAATTTTAGATAGTTTTAATATTTATTTAAAAAATAAATATTACATCATAAATAAAAATATTATGAAAAGTAAACAAATTTTTCATTTATAACTATTTTCCAAAAGTTGAGTTAAATATTTTTAAATTTTCATTAAAATATTTCAAATATTAAATTTTTGATGTTTATTTTTATTCTTTGATTAATAACAATTTTGAATTAGTATTTAGTTGATTCTACATTAATATCCTCGGAAAAATTAATACAGTATTTGAATAATCATAAAAAATTTATTATTTTTTTTTAACTCACTTCAAAAGCAGGAGGTTTGGATGGCTGTTCGTCAAGAAAGAAGTCTCCTAAGTTTGTTAATGAACACGAATTTAATGATAAGGAAATATTATTGATTCTAGCAGAGAGTTGATCATTTTTCCAAGGGCTATTTTGTATTGATTTTACATCAAAATGAGGTATTATATCATGTTCCAATCGGAGCATAACTTGAGGTAATTGTGGTACACCTTCAACACCATCTACTTCATTCCAGTCCCGTGTTCTAGTGATGAATTTATCCTATTTAATGTTAAGTTACACATATAATTTTAAAGTTTTTAATATATGTAATATAGGGCTCTGAAATAATATCGATATCATAATGATTTTTTTAGCTAATATCAATATAGAATTTTAAATTACATCAAAATTCATATTTAAATAAATAATAATGTATTTCACAAAATATTAAATAAACATTTTCTCAAGATTTCATTTCATTCTCATTTTCTCAAATGGTGATATTTGTTTGATATCCTGATAATATATAATAAAAAAACACTACAATATCGATATATAACATAAAATAAATTATTATTCAATTTATATAGTAATATAAAATATGAAAATGTAAAATTAGTTTATTTTGTGCAATATACATGAGTTATACATTGAATGTTCATATATATCAATGGCTAAGAAGTTAATAGTTGTAAGTCTATTTTTTCTCAATTTTTTTTTATGCTCGTTAGTTAACCTGGTTATATTTATTTTTTGATAATTGAATATTAATAAATTACTTACCATTTAAACCATGTTTTTTTGTTATTTAAATTTTTTAATTTATAGTTTTTATATACTTACTTAAATATCAATAAACCACTCTCCCGTAAAATTTAATTTTTGGGACCTACAACTTTTAATCTCTTTGAGTCATTGATATTTTTAATGATCTGATATGTGTTAGTTATTATTAAGGTTGGCTGTGTAACTACCACTTTAAATAAATTAAAAAACAGAAAAATTCATTTAATACTATATTCTATTTTTACTAATATTATTTTAATATGTATTTTTTATTATTAACAAAAAATAATATATAAGAATTATTAAGTGAGTTGATCCAGTACTAAAAAATTATTTCACATACCAAATAAGATATTTGTATAATAATGAAAATTATTTTTAAATAAATTTTTTTAAACAAACAATTCAACAAAACTACTATTATTTAAAAAAATATGTAATCAAATACCTTTTTATGCTGATAAATGAGCAGTAAATAATTGTGTAAGCACACCCATAACATTCCAAGGCAAACAATCAAATAAAAACAGACAAAAGTTAAATTTATGAATAATCATGCCAAATTATTATTCAAATGTTAGGAAAAATATATTTGTATAATATTTAATATTAAAGTACCACCAAATCTTATATTATTTGACACAATTGTCAAATTTATAGCAATACATAACATGAAATCAGTTAAAAGAAAAACATAGAGTAAAAGTTAACAATGTAATAAAGTTTTTTACTTAAATCCAATCTTAATCATAAAAAAAATAAAATAAAATACTTTATTAAATGTAAGGTAAAATTTTTGATCTACACAAAAGAGCCTATATTAAGAAACATAAATATTACAGCGAGGCTTAATTGTTTGTCAGTAATATAACATTCATAAATTTAAATGAAATGTTTATGAAAATAGAATTAAACAAATAACCTTTTAATTTAATTTAACAATAATTTTTGGTGCATGTTACTTTATAATGTAAAATATTTAGACAAATAAGTCAATTTTACTATTTCACTAAATGAGTTAAATAAAAATAGGTTGGGGAACTGAGCTCACTGTATATTCCTATAAGTTTATAGGTTAACATAGTTCCATACAAATTACACAATTATATCATCATTGAATTTTGGCATAGTGTAACTAAAATTTTTAGGGTACCCAATAAAAGAGACAAAAAAAAATATATCAGATTATTTATAATACCTAGCGTATGTTATTTAACGTCAATAAATCATAGAAAATTCTTTAATTATTATTAAAATAATTTTTTTCTTAATAAAAAAATGTATGCTTTTTTATTTTTTTAATTTGGTATTATACCAATAGTAAATAAAACATGCAATTATATTAGTTAAAGATTATAAAAAATTTATATCAAAATTAAAAATTTACAAAAATTATGAAATTATACAAACTTGAAATTCATCCCATGGTATACACGGACATTCATCTGTATCAATATTGGTAATTTGAACTTTAACAATTGAATTTAAACCTTTAGATTGATGTACAACTTCTACACGTCCCAATTTAAGAGTAGTTATAGAAATCTAAAATAAGATATATTCAAAATAAAACGTTTAAGTAATAAAACATTTTATTAAATATTTAATTATTACTAGATCTTTTCGTTTAATAGAACTACCAATTGAATCTCGTTCACTAGATGTTGTAGGTGGCGTTAATTCACCTCCTCCACCAATATCATCAAAAGCTTCAGCCGCAAATTCAATATTTTTTGATATACCACTTTTAGATTTCTGTGAAGATGGAAATCTAAATATAACATCAGCACCATATACAGTGTCTAAACTTAAATCCAGTAAACTCTCACTATCTGAACTTAAGTCAGACCTAAATTTAATAACACATATATTATTAGTAAAATTAGTTTAAATTTGAAAATGATAAATTACCTAACAGAAACATTATCATTAAAATCGTCATTCTGTTTAGTTTGAACATCAATAGATGCACCAAAAGTAAACCACCGTTTTTTCATTCCTTTGAATGAAGGCAAATTTATATCATTAGTTACAGATTCTGCCATTTTAATTTGAGACATTTCTTTAAGATTATCATAAACAACAGAAGCTGATTTGTTTGATATAAACTCCTTATGCTTCACATTAACATTAGTTGTTGAAATAGCTAATGGCATTTTTAATGATTGGCTCATATCATAAACATACCCTACATCCTAAAAATATAAGTAAAAAAAAACATAATAACAAAGCATATTAATAAATTTGAAGGTACTATTAACCTTTTTTTGAATTGCACATAATTTACCTCATATGTAGTTTGTACTACATTGCTTAATTGAACACTATGTCCACTTTGTGTAGCTATACTAGATGAATCAATTACAACACTTGAACTAATATCATCAACTCCACCAATCTTATTTATAATAGCATTTGTAACAAATGTTATTTCTACTTGGGTAATTAAGGCCGCTAAGACAAATGATCCATTTTTGTTATCTTTTATTATATTATGTTGATCCGCAATTACATAAGTAGTTAACTACAAAAATCATAGTCATAAAAATGATATTAACTCTAAAATTTTAAAACTTTAATTAAACATACTTCATCAACAATATCAGCTATGCGCATTAGAAATAGATATTGATAATGATTTATTTGAATGCTAATTAAATTTGATACATCACACAAAACTGTGATATCACCATGCTTCATAACATTTTGTAATTTTTCTGTTTTTGAGGTTAATGTAGGAAGTTCAATCCATAAGGTCAATGGAAAAGCTTCCAAAAATGGCACAGGATATGAACCAACTGCTCGAGCTCCATAAAAGTCACCCCATACTGGATCTAGTCGAATGCACCTAAATAAAAATTGGATAAATACAATATCAAATTTTTTTACAATTAAATTTTATACTAATTTTTAAAAACTTTAATTGCTATTTTAATATGAAACTATCAAAAAGCATTTAAAACTTTTTCATCATCAATGTGAAGCTGAGAAAGTATTGATTTAACTATGATGTTCTTTTTTTTTGTGTTTGACTACAAAAAAATCAGCTTTCACTGGGCTGATTATGATTATCTAAACTAAAAATTGTCTGTGTAGTATATAGATGTACTAACCGAGTACCAAGTAAAAAAGTGCTTACAAGCCTAGTAATAAGTAAAAGTTGGGTAGCCAAATTTTTAGCATTAATAAAATAAAAGGTCAAAATATTACATTTCTAACATTTCATCCTAATTTAAGTTAAAACAAAAATATAGATGTAGGATAAAAAACTGAAATCCCTTCCCATATTTAGTTTATGCTCTTCTAAAAAATAGAAATATCATGAGTATTTTTTTTTTTATTAAGAACTTCATGTCACACAGTAGATCAATCAGTTGCAACCTTAGCATTAATGTTCAGCTGCTCTGGTGCTGTTGGATCCTGGATGGATGACCATATAGGAACTTTAAAAGTGACACACACCTGCCACCATACTGGTTTCCTCAGTCATGAGACTGTGCCAGATTGATAGCCAGCAAAAAATTCCGTCAAAGCATTAAGGCATAGTTGAGTTAGAGGCTATGATAATGATGATGTATTTTAAAAGTATATATATATTTTATAAAGAAACCAAATTACATTTGCCTCCTAAAAAATTGTTCACCCAGCATATGTATGCAAACTCTTCATTATAAAATATTTATTCAGATAATCTCGAAAAAAGCATTTCTTAAAATCTTTTAAATATTGATTGAAATAAAAGCCATATCGTGTTTAAAATGTACTTATTTATTTCATTAAACTTTATTGAATTAAACATTTTTTTTATTGTTTTATGAACATATTAAAGCTAAAATTATGCTTTAAAAGATTTCTTTTATTCTTTCATTTATAATTTTATTAATTCCAATATAACACTATTTATTCTAATTGATAACAAAAAAATAAAAACCCAGCAAAGTTGGACAAGAATAGATGATAACTGACAGTGATTAAAATCACTATAGTAAAAATGGATCCGAGCAAATCTGTATATAGTGCTTAATTTTAAGAAATTGGTGGGTTATTCCAAAAGCAAAATGAACTCCTATATCCTAAAAAGTTTTATGAATTATAAGTGTAATATATGAATAAATATTTATTATAGTAATTCTATATAGTATGAAATTGATATTGAATAATTTAAGTATTATATACTTTATTGAGAAATTATAAAATGTTATAAAATTGTTGTATATAGAAGGATTCGATTTCTCTTAAAATAATAATTATGTTAAAAAAATTATTTCTGGTATATTTTAGTTTTATATATTTCTCAAATTATTAAATATTAATTTTATTTTTAATTCCTACCTTAAACCATATAAGGGTGTTAACTTTATTATTTTAAAAGACAACAAACATACTTAACTAGTTAATAAAATAATAAATTATATCATTAGAAAATGGCTAGTAGAAAACAGTTTTTAAAATATTACTTTAGAAGTTATTAACATTTAATATATTGGGAGTAAGAGTGTGGCACAGTAAGATGTAATCATAAAAATAACAACCACACTTCATAATCACTCTACATTTTAAATTAGTTATAACTTCCAAAATAATGGATTTAAAGTTGATATCGACCAGTTATTTACTTAGTTAGATAATTTTTAATTACAAGCCAGTTTAATATGTATGTAGCTATTAAAAAAATAAAGATGATACACTTTTATGGCATAAAGGATGAATTTAAAAAAAATAATTGATAAATTCAAAAATACATGAAACTAAAAACACCAAAAATGGTTTTCTTAACATAGTTATTATTTTAAGAGAAATCAAGTGGCTAATATTAAAATTTCGATTTTATAACTTTTTATAATTTCTCCATAAAATTTATAATACTAAATTATTCAATGTAACTTTCATTCATATAACATTTATGAAAATCAGTAACCCCCTGTCAGATAGAAGGTGTATATATTAAGTTTTTATACAAATTATTTATTGAAATAATTGTGTTGATCCATACATTTTTTAAAAAATGATAGAACTTTAATTTAAAAATTTTAACACAAAAACACCATGTTTTTTAATTATGAGCAACCATTTGCACATAGAAGATAAATCTTTGGAACAAATATTTTTTTGACTTAAAGTACATAACATAAGTTTTAATTTAACATATATTTAAAGAACGTAGTATTTCTGAAACATTTTCAAAAGTTAACTTTTCGTAAAAAATTGCAAATTTGTATCCCCCCGTGGGCAAGTAAAGGGTCAAATATATCAAATGAAAGGTAAATATCTAAGATATTTATATAAAAAGAGTATTTAGTTTTGATCATTTTTCATAAAGTTTTAAGAAAGAAAAGTTAAAAAAATGTTGAAATTTACCAATTTTAAAAATCATATTTTTTGGAGAATTTTTTTTATTTAACAATAATGTTTTAAGGTAAGGCTTGGAAGGAGATATAAGGCCACACATACACACACTCGAAATATTTTTTCTTTTCAATTTTTTACTATCTTCTAGAACGTCAAAAAATTTTAAACCCGTGTTGTTAATAAAATAGTTTAAAATGTTCTATAAACCAAAGGAAATTTTTGATATTTTTGTTTTAAACTGTAAATGTAAAAATCCTGCTTTTAACCTAAACCAAATTAAATTAAAGCTATTGAAATATACTATATTCAAAAGAAAAATTATCTTGACAATAGTTCTATGTAAAATTATCATCAAGCTAGAAAAATTTGTCTTAAAAATATGTTTTGTTTTCAATTTTTGAAAATGTTCTGGGACGGTTAACAAATCAAAACATTTATCAGACTAAAACTTTTTAAATGTACTATATGATTAAAAAAAGAAAAATGACTTGATGATTTGTCTTCTATGAGTAATCAACTCTTTTTATTTTGATAACTTTATGTAAAAATACATCAAAGTATTTTATGAGGATAATGTTAATTATAGTCAGATATCAATTTATACAAAAATCTATTAAGCCAGGTCCCTACATTTTTTTTTTTTGTATTCATAGTGATAATTTAATTTTTTATAGTATTTATATATGTAAAGATTCACAATTATTATTTTGTATTTTTATGTAGAGACGTTAGTTTAATAATTCAATAAAGTAATATACGATTTGCTAGTTCACCAAAAAGTATTTATATATATATAGTGAATTACTATACAATGAATATCATCAAAATTGAATATGTTAATAAACAATAGTACTATTTTATTCAATATCAATGTTATCATAGAATTTTCTGTAAGAAACAATAATGTTTAATGAAATACTTAGAATTAGTTTCACTATATTTAAAAATTTATGTATTTTAGTGTATAATTTTTGAACTTAAACTGTTATTTATAATATAATATATTATTCATTTTTATAACATAAAAGTTGCAAATTAAATTTGTTTTTTCTTAAATCAGAAATTCAATAATTCAATGTTTTTTAAAGACTTATCAGAGTAAAAAACCATGCTGTATTTAAAATTGATAACTTTTATAATAAAAAAGGTGGTTTTGATGAAATATAAAAATCAGATTTCATATTACACAAAAATTAAATCTAGATACAACTTACCATACATCTTTTGCTTCTATCCACAAAAGTTCTTGTGTAAGTTCATTCATAAATTCATCTAATGAATTACCAAGTATTACATTAGGGAGTTTTCGTATATCATCCTTACCTAAATTAAAATCTTAATTTTAAATTTTATAAAAATAATATAACTTAACTTCTGTAATACCTCCAATAATAAATAACTTAAATTAATTACATAAATCAATAAAAATTGGGTTATTTAATGTTTAAAACAATTTTTTTGATGCTGATTCCAAACATGTCATTAGTTATTTTCTACAATCAATTTGAGTATTAGAAGAAATACAGTTTTAATAAGAAAAATTTGACTTAAAATTTTTTTTTGATTTCTACGACACCCCTTGATTGTGTTTATAAAATATTGATTGTGCAAAATTGGAAGTCATTAATTCAAGTTTAATATTTGAAGTTGACTTTAACAGACATTTTTAAAAATATATTTTTACACTGTTATTATTAATTGTCAATAGAAAATATGAGGATTCAAAAAGTACTGAAGTATTTTAATAACTATATTTTTTTTATTTAAATACTTTGAACATTGTTAAATTTGATTAAAAATATATAAACAACAAATCTAACTATTTTTTGTTTAAAAAATTTTGTTATAAAATTGTACAATTTGTTTATAAATTGTAATTATTTAAATAATTAAAATTGGTAAAATTATGATATATAAAAAGATAAAATGCAAATATTTTTCACACCATACATCAAAATTTTTATTTCTTATACCATTTTTTTTTAACATGATTAACAATAACGACATAAAAAGAAATTTTAAAATAGTTATAGAGAAAAGTTTAGTTTTATATATTTTATTCATCTGTTAAACTTAACTTCAAATGTAAAACTTGATTGAATGACATCAAATTTTAGCATAAAATATTATCAATATTCTATAAATACAATCAAAGGTTGTTGAAGAAAAAAATTTTTTTAACACATGTTGTTTATTAAACTGTACTTTTGTTAATACTCAAATTATCAATACAAATTTTCTACTCTTGTCATTCAAGAACGTATGATAGTAAATTTGTGTTAACTGTAAAAGTTTGTGTCTATTAATATACATGAATTATTAAAGATAATATTACATATATCCATACTACAAACCCACTCAATATATTAAAATGCTTGTAACTCAATAATTATTTAACCTAAAGTTGTTATCAACCTATCAAAAAATTTTGTAAGAAAATTACTAAAAAATATTTTGAAATTTTAAAAAAATAAATTTTTTTAAATGGTAACCTACATATATAACTATTTCATGTAATGTAAAATAATCTAATTAAGAAAATGATTAGGGGATCATAATTTTGGAACCAGTAGTTTAAAAGTTATAAATATTTTTATAGGAGTAGCGTGGTAAAGTGATGCATAAGTAAAAAATAACATATTAACCCACACTTAACTTCCACTCTATATTTAAAAATATTAATATCTTTCAAAATACTGGTTCAAAAATTTTCTTAGTTGAATTATTTTCCATTATATGAACTAATTAAATATGTATGTTCCATTTAAAAAGATAAAGTTTGTACTTTAAAGGACCCTTGTACCTTAAAGGAATAAACATCACAACTAAAAAATATTTAACCACCCAAAAATCGAAAAATTAATAACACTAAACAAAACTTAGCAATTTTTTTTTATAAAATAAAAATTAAATTAATATCGGTGTAATATTCCTTATATAAGCTATAAATAATAAAATACAATTTTTACATTTAATAAAATTGCTATTGTTATTTTCTGATAAATGTTAAATATTCTAACAAAAGAGGCTTTTTTACTCCAATGATTGATATGTTAATTTAGAGTTACTTTATTTACTAGAAAAATATTTTACCTTGAGCATGGTCTATAAATTTTTGAGTTATAGGATGACAATCTCCTTTTTTAACTGGATATTCAGAAGTGTAAAAAAGAGATGACAGTTGCAAATTATTTATACAGTTTGATAAATCAGTTCTAGACATACCCTGTTCATTATTGCGAATATTACTTATAGTAGCACGACTGGTTTGCAAATTTAATGATTTTGGTCTATCTTTTTGAGAATAAATCTGTTTTGATTCTTCAAATATTATCTGAATAGTATAAAAGTAAGTAAAAATTGAAAGATAATCATACATTTTTTTTTTTAATGAATAAAAATTAAAAAATATTATTAAAATGATTCACACTCACACGAGGCATAATTGCTTCAATGAGTATGTCTATATAAATCATATTTCCTAAATTTTCTTGATTTGCAACATTAGTAGTCATAAGTGATTTATACACATTTAATGCAAATGTATTTAACCATATAATTGTTAAGTTATCAAAATTGAGCTGTACTGGATTTAATTGAACATAAAACTTTGATGGAGGCACTAGAAAAAATTTTATTTTTAATGACAGAACTGATAATTATTATTAAATTCTATCAATACTAATACATACAAGGAAATGCTATGTCTCCTGGATAATAATAGTATGTAAATTCTGCATGAATTACTTTTGAATCAGATGGCAATTTATGACATTCTTTATCACCTTAATACATTCAAGCAAAAGCAAAATTTATTAAAACAATTTTTTTTTATTTGTAATTATTACCATTTGATGTAAAATAACAGGGTGATTGCTTAACAACAACTTATACAATATCTTAAAAAGAATAAAACATAATATATTTTTTTCTTTTTAAATTTAAGAGTATTCTATGTTCTACTATTAAAAAAAATTAGTTGTCCTATCCTCTTTTATCTCCCTTAAAGTATTATCAATATTTTAATGGAATCATATATGTTTAATTAGCGTTGTGCCTTTATGTGTAGCAACTGGGGGTTGATTCCGTTGCACTAAGCTATTTAGGTTTCCCATCTTGTCTAACACAAGCATAACTTTTCAGAGAGGACATTGATAACAAATAGAATAATAATAGTATGAAAATACAATACTAAGATAATATTGTTCAAAAATTGTAATGCCTTGACTAATCATATATGTTTCAATTTAAAAAACTCAAGTTGATACAATTTTAAGAGGTAAAGATTTTTATAGGATTTAAGACTAAACAATGACTGGATTTAGATTAAGATTAAGATAAAAATTAAATTGTTATTATTTTAGCACACCAGTTAACATTACATCAAGGAGAATTAAATCATAATATTGACTATTATACATAAATACAGAAATAGCTTTGGTACTGGATAAAACTGATAATACTAAACAAAAATTGAAAAAATAAAAACTTACTTCAAATCAAAAAATTAATATAATATTGCATATACTACAATAGGATATAAAATTTAAAACACACTTATTTAGTAAAATGTATTATTTTAAGTATAACAAATTTAAAATTGAAAGTATATTAAAAAAATGTAAGTATGTGCATACAATGTATGCACATCATCAGCCAGTACAAAAATTATAAATGTATATAATTTCTAGTCTTGCTAATATTATAAAGCTTGCCTATTACAATAGCCCAAAAAAATTATATAAATAGGTAAATGACCTGCTCATACTTGCATTTTTTAATAACAATTAACAATTTATAATATTAACCCTGAATAAGCAATGACCACAATAATTACTACTTACAATTATTATCACCCAATCAAAAAATATGATGCATCTTTAATTCATTTACAAAATTGGTTGCACTGCCTTAAATTTTCATTTTATTATAATTACTAAAAGAACATTATAGTAAAACTATATTTTTTTCATTTAAGCATTAAAGTCAGAGATATATTTAAATGTGTTTAACTACATTAAAATTACTAATGTCGTTAGAATATTAATTTAGAAAGATAGAGAATATTTTTTCCTTACCTAAACTATAAAATATTTAATTATATCATTTACTGAAGCTAATAAATTAAACAAATAATTAACATTCATAATTAAATACAAATTTAATTACTTTTAATAAAATGAATTGGGTCTTGTTTTTTGCCAGTTTGAACTCTAAACACAGTAAAATCTGATACCCTTAAAACAGTACAACTAGTCATGAGCTTTGAATACTGCTTTTTCATTTGTCTTGCAATGTTAAGTTTCTAAAATTATTAATGTGATGTTAATTATTAATGTTGGGGATTTAAAGCAAACTACTTAATATACCCTAAAGGGATACATTGTATTTTAAGTATCCTATATCCCCTTTACTTTTTAACAAATTAAAAAATGTTTAAAATATTAAAATAATTAAATATCATCAAATTAAAAAAATTATCTTAAATTTTTTTTTTCAACAATTATTAAAAGATTGTCTTGAGTAACTTACTTAAAAATACTTTTAATTAAATTTACTAGTTGTTAACTAAGAATATGAAAAAATAAATAATGAACTTTTCAGTAATAATAATAAACTTATACTATCTACTCTTCATTTACTTTTATATTACTATAAAATTATTTATTTTAATAAATTAGTTTTTTGAATATAATAAAATAAAATAATTAATTAACTTTTATTTTTTTCAGTTATTGATGTTACAAATTTTAGTGATAATGTTAATTTAGCAAATCTATCTCAAGTTTATTTATACAACTTACTGAAGCTGAATCATCTGATAAATCAAGTTTTTCTTGAACCACTGTGTAAAGTTTAGCCCAAAATTCATTTTGAGAATCCTTTAGCCATTGAAAAAATGATGAACTTGCTTTCTTATAAAGACCCCAATGCAATCTGTCACTTTCAGCTAAATGATAAGGGTATAGATCAATTTGAAAAGAATTAACTTCAATTTGAATAGAACCTCCATTTTGTAATTCTGGATGAAGGGAACGACCTAAAAATAAACACACAATTAATAACTCAAATTAATGATACCTAAAAAAGATTTAACTTACTTCCAGGGTCATCACTGAGATGAAGAAATACTTTTTGAGCAACAAAATGATAAGATGTTTCAATTACATCATGAAAACTAAATAGACAAGAACTTTTTGAACTTGATACAAATTTACCTCTTTTTTGCTGATCTAACTGTGCTTGATACTCAGGTAAACACTAAATATGTCCAAAATCAAAAGTAGTCAAGAAGTATATTAAAAAAAAAAAGTTATAATACAGTAAATAAAAACTTTAAATATGTTAAAAAAAATTTAGTTATAAGTAAATTACTTCTAATTTTCTTAATGCTTTATTTTTTCTAGAAAGATCCATTGATCTTTGTACTATACCAGCTATTGAGTCAATGTAATGGAGTGCAGCTTTCATTTGAGAATCAGTGAAAACACACAAAAGTTCTTCAATTAATATTGCTAATTTACATCCTAGTATAAAGCAATCTGATGAAAAAGTAAAAAAGCAATTACAACTACAACTTTTTATGAGATATCAAGTACATTACCAGAAAGTCTTTTTTTAATAGTTAAGCGACATATAATATCATTTGTAAATAGTTTTATAGGAGGTTTAGATCGATCATTAACTGGATATAATTCAATCCTTATCATTTGCCATGTCAACTCTTTAAATATAAGTATTTGAGTTTTTTGTTCATTTTTTAACCGTGTTGTTTTGAGATTAGTTAACTCCCAATTAGGTGACTTTGATTGAACAAGTACTTTAAGGATCTAAAACAGAATAAGTTAATTTAAAATAAATTAAAGCTATATAAATTTAAGCAACAAGGAAAGACGATAAAAATACTTTTTTTTTATAGAATGTAAAATATAACACCCTACCAAATACTATATGTATTTAACTAACTATTTTAGTAAATACTATGTAAGACATAGTTAAACAAATACTATGTATTTTTTTTTTTTTTAATGCATATATTTATAATATTTTAGTATTTTTCTTAGTTTTTATATAATTATAAAAATAATTTCATAATTTTAAGAAATTTTGAACTAAATTAATAACTTTAAAATTAAATATTTTTTTTTTAAATAAGAGTGAGTTTTAATAAATAGTTTAAACCTGTAGAGAAGCTTTGAAAGCTGGATCTTTAAATGTGATGTTAACTTCATTTATTTGTATTGTAATTCCATCTATAATTTGATTTATAAACTTGTATTTTCCTGGTTGAAAAGCTGGTATATTTTCATGCATTGCCATTTCTTCTACATTTTCACAAGTTTCAACTTCTAAAGAAACTTTATCTAAGGTCTAAAAAATAAAATACCTTAATAATCTATGCAAGCTTTATTTAAAATTCTTAAATAAATATTTATTGTTACCAAAGTTATAGGAACTTTTTTAATGGTCATAAATGGAACTTGAACAAACACTCTATCACATTTTGCACTAGTAATTTTAATCCAATAAGGCACATCTAAGACATCCATTAGTGCATTTTCATCGAGTTCTAGATATGATAATTCACCTTCACCTTTGAAAGTACTTATATTTATGTCCTCTTCTTTTAAGCCTTTTGTAAACCTGTTCATCAATATTGGCAAATAAAATTTAAATAAATGAAATCTTCATAAAAAAAGTTCACCTTGATAGTTGTTTAAGAATTTGCTTTTTAAGCACTGAAGCCATTTTTTGAATATTAAATTCAACTAGAAAATCTACCTTCAGTATACATTACTTATATTTAGTTTATAAACATTAATTAATTATTACACGTTGGTCATAGGACAATTGTAAAAAAAAGCAAAATATTACTAAAAAATAAATAGAAAATTAATTTTCTACAAAACAAAGTTCTGTGTAATGAAAACCTATGTACACTATGTTATTGAAGTTTTAATAATACTACACGAGATAGTATTTAATATGTTCCACTCGCCTAAATCAAACTATGTAATGTAAGAGCTGGCAAAATGATATAAAACTATCAAGATAACATCTGCTTCATACAACTGTATCATTGATAAGAGTTGTGTTTTAAATTCCGAACTACAATTGTATTAAATCTAATGAGTGAAACAACAAAAAAACTTTTTTTTTTGATGAGGCTGATTATTTTAGTAGCATTATCATTATTGATTTAGTGGTATAGCATATGCGATTGTCGTGTTACTTTAAAAATTAAAATTGTATATAATTTAAACCATTAATATTTAGAGAAAACAACATATTTTCAAAAAATGTTACAAGGCTACTAATAGAACTAATAATGGTTCACGAATTAGTTTTAAGCGCACTATTTCTGGCTTAAAAAAAATAAGTCAGCCAGAAAAGAATTCCTTGTGTAATATAGCTGTGATAAAAATGCCTCCCAAATTTAACAATGCAATTACCTATAGCTAGAAATATTCTAGCTTTAGTAATTGCGTTAGTTATATACAAGGTTTATGTCTATAAATCTTAGTTTATATAAGACTAAATTTATATTATGATTATGATTATAGTCTTCTAACAAGTCTCACTACAAAAATCAAGTGTTTACACAGTGATTTAAAGAAGGTGGCATAGGATAGCATGTTACCTACGAGAGATTACTAATTATAAGTATTCTATTATCATAGTTAGAAAAGGTGCCTAGCCATCCAAATTAAAAATATTTTGTATTGTCACATGTTAGACCCCGGCCCAGTCGTATTGCTTGACTAGATCATTCTAGCCCTTCTAAATATTTTACCAATTGTTTATTAACTAAATTTATGACTACAGTTTTCTAAATGAGGGGTTGAAATGTTGAAGTATGGACATATTTAAAAATTCTGATGGAAAAGGTTTGAAGAATAAAACTTATTTTATGAATTTTATTTTATTCTGAATTAGAATTGTATTGTTTGCAATCTGATCTCCAAAATGTAGATCTAGTTCTGAAAAAAGTTAATAAAGTATACTTTATGAATTTATAATTACTTCAAGTATATTTGAGATGGCAAAAAAAGTAGGAACATTGTGATCCCTTAACATTTTTAACATAACGTGAATTTATAAAATTAAAACTTACTTTTTAAACAAATTTCAAATGGAGTTTTTTTCTAATTGTCATAAGGGGACTCAGTTTTCTTGTAAACCCACCCTCATTTTAGGCCCTGCATAGAGTATAAATATTTTATAATCATAATAAAAACCCAGCACAGCTTGCAGTTATTATTCTAAAAGCATTCCTATTAATTTAATCCTCATTTCCTTAATTGTGTATCAAATTTTTTAACTTGTAATATATTGTTTAACCTTTTATCCAATATGTTTTTAAAGGACGCAGTATTTCCGAAACATTTTTAAAAATTAAGTTGAAATGGTTAACTTTTTAAATTATTTTGAATCCCCTACAATAGGTAAGTAAATGGACAGATTTTTAAAAAATGTATACCAATAAAAAAATACCTAACGTACTTAGAAAAAAATATTTATTTTGATTTATTCATTTAAAGTCATGACAGTTTTAAATATAAAATTAGTTCTAAATTGTTATAGTTTACCGATTTTTTAAATTGTTTTTGGGGATTTCCCAAAATGTACAGCGAACAACGGTTCGTTTTTTTTATATTTGGTTGAAATATCTTCATAATATATAATTTATGAGCTTTTGACATATCAATGAAAAAAATTGGTCCAGTAAGAGATTAAAAAAGAGCAACAGACACAAAACATAATTTTTTCTAACAAAAAATCTGTAAAAATTATAATTTCATCAAACAAAAATTTTTATCATTTGTAGAAGACTAACTTTAATTAAGGTTTTATTATATGAAAACAGGAAAAAAACATTATTGCTTCAAAATTATTATTTTTTAATTATGCCTTGAATTAAACTAATACAAAATATCTTATATATGACTCTGAACCTACAAATATTCAATATTTATAAAATTTAGTTGAAAAACAAAAACAAATGAATAACAGATAATTAAACATAATTAATACTGTTTAATTTTCTCAATAGTTTTCACATAAGTAGTATCATTGATTAATTAAAATGTATAACCTATTAGGATGATTTTCTATTATGAATAATAAAAAACAAATGAACAAAAACTTAATTACTTATAGACTATTTATAATAAAACGTATGTAAATGTTTATAACAGCTAAGAATTATAATATATATAATAAATGTAAATAGTTATTACTTTTTTTACAAATGTTTATAATATATATCACATAAAATTATTATTTTTTTACATTATAGAGTCAGTCTCTCAAGTATAAAGAATGTTTTGATTAACAATTATTATATAGTTTTGGTAGTTTTATTTTTACTCACTTTTCATTTCAATATTGTTTAAATGGCGATAACATGTATAATTAACTTAAATTTTTATTCTAAATATTTTTAGAATAATTCAAAATACAACATTCTTTAAATTAATGTATTACAAAAAAAATATAAGTGGATATTTAATACAATTAAAATACTAAATTACAAAATTATTATGTTAGATGTATTCAAAACCAATTAGTTATGCCATATAATAACAATAACAATAACAATAGTATAAGATAAATTCAGTCTTTTATAGATCAAATTAGAAAATAGTAACAATATAAATTTATTACATAAATGTTTAAATATTACACTAAATTAATTCTATTTCTCACAAAAAACCAATTATATTTAAAGCTATGATTGTTTATTCATGTTAATATTTTTATATAAATGGCATTGAGTTGAAAATATTATGATTTATTATTTCAGTAGGATCAAATTATAGATAAAAAAGATTTAGAAATTTGTATATTATTGAGAGAAGCATATGTAAATATTATTAACTTTGTAAAATTTTGTAAATTGTATGAAATTAATACTAATGATTTGATTTTTAAAATAACATTAAGTTTTAGTTTAACATAGTTGAAATAAACGTACAGTGTACAATAAATTATGAAACATTGCTTTAGTATTGTTCATAACACTTTTTTTTTATTACATAAATTATTGAAAGAATAATTTCAAAAATTAAAAATTTATACAGTTCATATAATTCATGTGTAACAGAATTACGGAGTAAATGATAATTTCAGAAAAAAACATTACAGTTGGAGTACTTAAATATCATATGTGCCTCAACTTTTGTATAAAAAAATGAATTTTGGTAAAAATATTGCTTACACAAAGAAGCCCTGTAAATATTTCATATATCTATATTAAAAAATAAATAAAAATCTATTTAAAGATTATAATCTTTAAATATTTTTTTTCATAACAAAAATGGATAATGTAACAATATGAAAATAAAACTAATAATTAGTTAAAAAAAAACATTGTTAACTGAAAACATTAAATTTAAAATTATTGAACATCTTGAATATTGCACCTTATCTAACTTACAAATAAGAATGGATTTGTATAATAAAATAAAATTATCGGCTATAAAAGTATATATAATTAATATTAAAAATTAACTTTAATATAAACATAGGTAACTTACTTCTTAATTAATTTAAATAGGAAAACAACATTGTTTTATATGTAGGTATACAAATTTTACATTTACAAAAAACAATTAATGAAACACTTAATAAAAAACATCAATACTTTAATTGTCAGTAATTTAAAATTATGAACATAATTAAAATTATGCAACAAAATAAATAAATTTTTTACTTAAAAAATGGTAAGTACTAATACTACTATTTGAACTAATAATGAGATAATTTAAATTTTATATACAACTTATCAACTGTTATGAATACATTTTTATGAAGAGAACATTTTTGCATATATTTTTTTTTCAATAACCAAGTATTGCTTTTGTGCTTTTTCAATTTTCATTAATTCTGCTAAAATTTTTTTGTTATGTGGAACTAGTTCTAAAGCTCGTTTAAAATATTTTATTGCAGATGAATAATGATTAAGTGCTCCATAAGCTTGACCAATACGAAAAAGAGCTTTGACATTACCAGATTCAAGATTTAAAACCTAAATTAACATAAATAAAGTTCATAAAATTGTATAATAATATTAATTAAGTAACAAATTTTACCTGCTTTGAGTACATTATGGAGTTTTTATAATTATATTTTTTCCAATGAACTGTTGACAAATTTAATAAAGTGCTAATTTTAATCTTTTTTAATAGGTTATAATCATCTTCAATATGTTTATGACAATTTTCATACCTAAAAATATCATTTATCATTTAAATGTACTAATATTATTAAACACGTATAAAGCAAAATATTATGAAATTAAATAATTATTGAGAATTAATGATTATAATTATTAAAGAAGAATCTTCTGAGTAATATTAAAACTCATTTTAATTAATAGCCAAAATAATTTTATTATTGAATTTACATAATATAACTAAAGAAATAAGGATCATTAATTTTAACGTAATTTAAAGTGGGAACAGTTAAATGCATTTATTAAATTTTTTAACAATCCCTACACATATATAAATTGTTGTAGAAGAGTTCTTAATTATTGCAGATGTTCTGTATTCTGTTATTTATCAATTATTTAAACAAAGGTAACATAATCCAAAAAAAAATTTAATGAACACAATCATTAATTTTTTGTTTTACTTATATTGTATATTCATAAATAACTAAATATATTTTTTACAAAATAATTTAAAGAACATATTTAATTTATTCTGTTTGGAATATTATATATTAGCTTCGATGCGAAGCTGAGAAGGTATTGGTTTTACTATGTGTTTTTTTTTTTGTGTCTGTTACCACTTTTTCTCAGCTCTCACCCAACGGATTTCTTTCAACAATACGTCAAAAGATCACAAATTGTATCTAGTCGAAGACATTATCCTTCAAAATTGAAAAATTGTCCCTCGTTCCCCGTAAATGGGGAAACCTTCAAAAAAATTACAAATTTTCGACATTTTTTCAATTTTTTTTACTAAAAACTGCCGTAACTTTTTCAAAAATGAACATATCAATATAATTCTTTTTTTATATAGATGCATGATATCATTACCTATCATTTGGTATATTTTTTTTGTAAATTTGACCTTTTTTCTGCCCACAGGAGGGGATTTAAAATTACAACTTTTTCACAAAAAATTAACTTTTTCAACTTAACTTTTGAAAATGTTCCGGAAGGTCTGACACTTTTATATATATCTTAAATTAAAGCTAATGTAATGTACTTTAATTTGAAAAAAAAAAATTTCGGACTTTATTTTATCTTCATGGTGAAAATGGCTACCAAATGCTATTTTCGTGTGAAAATTTTCGATTTTATAATTTACATTTTTTACTTTAAAATGCTATAACTTTTTGAAAAATGTATGGATCAACACAATTTTTTCATGAGAAGTAGTATTTATATACATCTTTCATTGGATATACTTTTTTTTTAAATCAGACTATTTCCCTATATATGGGGGGGCTTCAAATATAAAAAATGCATATAAAAAGTAGAACTTTTTCAACTTAACTTTTGAAAGTGTTTCGGAAGGTCTGACACTTTTATATATATCTTAAATTGAAGCTTATGTAATATACTTTAATTTGAAAAAAAAAAATTAGACCCCTGGACTTGTCTTCATGGTGAAA